CAGTATTCAATCCACAACAGTCAATGTAGCACATCCGCCATCACTCTTCTCTAACCACAACGAAAACTAACGCGTCACTTCCCATTACACAATTACGTCACAACACTCTCACACAAACGATACGGCTGCACATACAATCTCTAACGAACATCTTTTCCCTATCAAACATGACAACAACGCTCTACACATAACAACAGTGATTCTCATACCCTCGACACAAGTACAATGAAACGCTTCAAAACATGTCCACGAGTCAAGCCATCTAACTTCAGTGTGATATAGAATTTGAGTTCACCATACTCAGAGTCCATATGTGAAAGAAACGATGTGTACTGCCTGTGATTCAAGGCGCCCTCCCCCCTCCCCTAGAACGTAATAAAGTTGATAGTTTCAACTAGTGCATCAATCACTGTTTTCATGTGTAGACTTTGACTACAAGGGTCTTCTTGATCCAGAAAACAAAGTATACGAGTGAAGTTGTCTCCAGCTGTTTCAAGGCTTGAGACCCCGGTCATGCATGGTGAATGAAGTGATGTGTTTGGAGTGTGCTGTTAGGCAGGTCCACGCTAAAGGGGGGGGGGGCGGGTGGAAGGTCACCCGCCCCAGGCGCCAATCACCAAGGCGCCTCAGTAGACGTTTTGGAAAGGGCGAAGTTTTTTTGCCCCACCAAGACCAAGTTTTTTTGTAATCTATTTTGCAGCCTTGTGTACTGTAACACACAATCAATACTATGAATACATTGGCCAACACAACAGTCAATTTACACCTACACATAAAACCCAACACAAAACAACATAAAAAACAAAACAACATACATGTCACAATAGCACATGTCTTTTCATGGTAGACTTATCACAGGCAGCCATCGCTAACACCAACTGGCTTTACCACATTCCCCCCCCCCCCACCAAAAAAAAGGGGCGGGCACAGGATAAAAATCTCTTTGTATGTATGTGTGTATGTATGGATGGCTGTAACGCTGTGTTTAATAGACGCACCTCATGAGAGTCCAAATCAGTGCTAACTGCTCAGAATTGTATTTTGCGCGCCGCTTTAATGCAAGCTTTGTTAATAGACTTTTAGTAGATGGGAAGTTCACGCATCGGCGCCCCCCCCCCCCAACAAAAAATGTCTCGCGGGTTATTTCTGGTAGTGAATCGTGACAACGTCGACATTTTGTTGGCGCAAAGTTATAAAGATAATGTTTCATGGGCGTAACTTTTACTTTCAATCACAACGCATCGTTTTACCAGAGGCGTTTCAATCTCCCATTAATATACTCTCCCCCCCCACACACCCTTTTTTCCCCCCAGGGACACAATGAAAGAATGACTATATCCAAACCCAAGTGGGGAATCATGCGACTTCCCAATATGTAAATGTCCTGACATTCCAGCAAACTGAACACCCACGAACAATCTCCTATTCGGCATGTCGCAACTTCCCTCACAAAAAAAAATCCACAAATTATTGCGCAACACCCTACAGTAAACGCCCTACAGTAAAAGCCCTACAGTAAACACCCTACAGTAAACACCCTACAGTAAACGCCCTACAGTAAACGCCCTACAGTAAACGCCCTACAGTAAACACCCTCCAGTAAACGCCCTACAGAAAACGCCCTACAGTAAATCGCCCTACAGTAAACGCCCTACAGTAAACGCCCTACAGTAAACGCCCTACAGTAAACGCCCTACAGTAAACGCCCTACAGTAAACGCCCTACAGTAAACGCCCTACAGTAAACGCCCTACAGTAAACACCCTACAGTAAACGCCCTACAGTAAACACCCTACAGTAAACGACCTACAGTAAACACCCTACAGTAAACGCCCTACAGTAAACGCCCTACAGTAAACGCCCTACAGTAAACGCCCTACAGTAAACACCCTACAGTAAACGCCCTACACAGAGCAATGGTCAAATCTAAATAAAAGTGGCCGCAAGCGTTTGACGAGAGAGGGGGGGGAAGGGAAGATGGGGTTGAAGGGGGCTTCCAACAGCAGGGGGGCCCAAAAGTCGTCTTAAGATCTGACCTTAACAGTGACGATAGACGATAAAATATCGCATGTACTTTGCAAAGACTAATTCGACTTATTCTTCTCCACCCCGGGTGGAATTTTTTTTGTTTCTTTTTATATTAAGGGGCGTCGTGTTCAGACTTCGCCCTGGGTGCCACTTTTTCCTCGGCGCGGCCCTGAGTAATTGTATAAATGATTTTTTATTCCTTAGATTTATGTATCCATAAATATTTTGGTCCGTTGAGATTCTCCACCTACATTTTCGCAGCACCAACATTTATATCTTTTCACTTCCTGTAATCCTACCTCCGGCCAAAGAAGATACAATCTCAAATTTTTTTTTTTTACTGTGCTCTGTTACATGTCTTAGTTGTATTTGTCGTGTATGCTGAAGCAGGCTCTAAGCCAAAACGTCCAGATCTTTTTTGTCCTGTCTATTAATTTCAAGTTTAGCATACCTTGATCTTATATCTCCTTTACACAACTTGAATGCAGTCAATCAAAATTATTATCAAATCAAGAAAGGCGTTTTGTCACTCTAAAAGTATTGCCGGTGACATGATGGCATTAGTTTTTTTGCGTTAAATTTAGTTATGGGATACTGTTTATGGTATGACAGAAACTTTCAATTTTACACTCGGCTTTACGATACAGTTAGCTGCATTATATATAATTTGTTGGACACTTTGGTAGTACGATGAAATTTATTTTATAATATAATTGTATGATATTATTTTTTCGTATATTTTGGTATGACATATTTAGCTGTATGAGTATGATAAAATCGATTGTATGACAAAACTCATTGTATGATAGACTTGCTTGTATGATAAATTGATTGTATGATAAAATTGACTGTGCGACACCCTTGATTGGATGATATACTTAACTGTAAAATAAATTTGATTGCATGATAAAATTAATTGTACGATACTCTTGATTGTATGATAGACTTGATTGTATGACACGTCATCGTTTTCCCACAATCATTGTGCTAGATTCGTGAAGGTGAGCGAGTGCAGCACCACAGGCAAATGGAGAGGCGCCCGCTACACGAAAGGTGGGGACGAAGCGGTGGTTCTTTTGTTTGACGTCAATGGCTACATCGCCGGCATCCAGACGGGGGTCAGGAAGGGTCTGCCCAACGGATACCCCTCCCAGTCGTTACGACCCCCATTCATTGAAGACAGCAACAGCTACTACATTACTGCCTACTTTGTCGACCCCGGTAAGTACGGGCGCACTACAGCCACTACTTTACTGCCTACATTTTATCGGCTCATCTAAGTAATGGCGCTGTTGTAGCCACTAAATTACTGCCTACATTTTATCGGCTCATCTATGTAGTGGCGCTGTTGTATCCACTACATTACTGCCTACATTTTATCGGCTCATCTAAGCAATGGCGCTGTTGTAGCCACTACATTACTGCCTACATTATATCGGCTCATCTAAGTAATGGCGCTATTATAGCCACTACATTACTGTCGATCTCGCCAACCCTTTGTGTGTCATGGCACTTTAGGGTCTACAATTCGGATAATCTTGCCCATTATGATGTAACCCCTGACTGGTGAAAGAACCCCCTCCATGTAAAACCACCATTGTTGACCTTATGTTTCCTATCCCACAGCAATCATCTGCAGGAGAGGGCGGTCCGATGCAGAGTTCCAAGAACAAGGAACCGGGACCGACCTGTACATACAGAACGGCACCGTGCCTGAGAACAGCCTACTGATGCCCCGATCCCAGTCTGACCTTGTCAACACGAAGTGGGTCGAGGGGATGTGTTTCTACACAATGGGTGGGTCATTTTGGTTACGTTTTAGCTTCTACACTGTGGGTGGGTCATGTTGGTAACATAACAACTACACAATGGGTGGGTCATTTTGGTAACTTTATAGCTTAGACGCAGTCAGAATTATGTCTTTGTTCCATTCATTATCTTGACCCGTTAACTGTAAACGAACGGACGTTGGAGCAGTCTTTCATTATATTCGAATTTTAATGCATTATCTTCTCATCTAAAAGTCAAATTTGTTAGTAACGATATTTTTTTCAAATTATTTTTCCGAATCACTTTTTATCTGATAACTTATCACTTTTTATCTGATAACTTATCACTTTTTATCTGATATCTTATCACTTTTTATATGATATCTTATCACTTTTTATCTGATATCACTTTTTATATGATATCTTATCAATTTTTATATGATATCTTATCACTTTTTATCTGATATCTTATCACTTTTTATCTGATATCTTATTACTTTTTATATGATATCTTATCACTTTTTATATGATATCTTATCACTTTTTATCGTCAATCTTACCTGAGCCTCCGCCCTATATGAGCCCATCTACCATCAGTAGGTAGAACATTAGAGCAGTGGTTCTCAGCCTTCCTAATGCCACGACCCATTAATACGGTACCTCATGTTGTGGCGACCCCCAACCATAAAATTATTTTCGTCGCCACCTCATAAATATGAGTTTTCCGATGTTCTTAGGCGATCCCTGTGTAATAGTCGTCCGATCCCCAAATGGGTTGCAACCCACAGGGTGAGAACCGCTGCACTATGAGGTTAGTTTATCGCCACTGGAAATATTCCCAAAGCAATTTTGAAGTAAAATTGTGACTGCCTACCACCTTCCTGTATATATTTATATTGTCCTTATTTGTCCATGCCCTTTCCTTTGCTTGACTAGAAATCCCAATCGGGACCATGACATTATAAATATTGGAATTTAAGGTAAATACAAGTTATTAAAGTAAGAATATTCGTGTATTCGCTCGCTGGCAGCTAGGATAACCCAGCTCGTGCAAAGGAGTAGGAGAGATGGGCTCATAGGCTCCGGGCATAACAGAAGGCGTCACGAGAGTCAACAGAGAAAAGCCATAAATCATATGAGATTCAATTTTGAATCGGGCACAGTTTATCATGCGCACGGCTCTTGTAACCTATCTCAATTAAGATCCGGGACGTCATACTACCACACATTAAACACAAAAATCTCCATTGGTAATTAGAATTAAAAGTACTTAAGTGGCATCTTTGTCAAAATCAATCTAAACTGTGACCGTCTCGTATCCATTTTGGCCAAGGATACTGTAGAAATTTCAACACATCAAAATGCGTCCAAGTCACTTAATTAAACAAGACAAAATATGATCGTAGTTAATATAGACGAACAGAATATTTGAACTTGATGATCTCAAAATGTGTTTTTTTGTTTGTTTTTTTGTGTGTGACTTAAACACATTTAGCACTCAAAGGTCTTCCTTCCATAACATAGGATTTGTTTTAATTTCTCGGACAGGAAAACACTACTGGTACGACATCTCCGTCAACATGAACTGCAGCAGCTACTTCCCCGTGTTCCTGATGTACAACGGCGGGAAGCTCAACTCCTTCGGCTGGGCGTTCCAGGCCGACCTGCCGTCCCCGAGGTACGAGCACCCGACCCAGGCCGTGTTCGGGCGCTTCATCAAGACCGTCCCCACGTGCCTGGCGACCGCAGGGCCACTGTCCACGCTTCACATTTACATGACGGACAGTGTCCTCGCCAACAGATGCTGAGCTCGAGAGAGCGTTAACCATGGGGATGCTGTTATGATGTTAAAAGCTTCCTAGTCCAAAATAAAATTTTGCGGGATTATAGGTTTCAAATTATCCACCCCCCCTCAACCCCACACCCAGGAGCAAAAACCCCACCGCCCCGCCCAAACCCCCCCCCCCCCCAAAAAAAAAAATAAAAAAATTATGTTTTGAGTGTTATTTTATTGATTTGAGTTTATTATATGTTATGAACTGATTTGACTTTAGTGTAATAAGAACCTTATTGGTGCAGACCTAAATTCAACGGTTTAAAAATAAACCCAACAAAAACACAAAAACTAAAACTGTTTTAAAAATGTATGTAATACAAATAAATCCAAGAAATACCCTTGTTAGGGAGTTGGGGGCGCCCAGACAAAATAACGCACTGAGGCCCCTAATTCCTCTCTTAACCTATTCCAGTAATGTTGGGAAAAACGATATGGGTACCAGGTTGGCCCATGCGTTATAAACAGTGTTTCTTTCAGAGAACGTAAATAAAAGTGTGCGTTTGTGTGTGTGTGTGTGGGAGGGGGGCAGAGGATCTTTTATCATTAAAATTACTTGATCACATTTCCCCCCACCCCAACCCACTCACCAACCCCAATACAAAATTTGATTTTAAATTGACGATATTTTTCTAGAAACTCTTGCACAAAGAGGAAAATAAAATTTATTTGAAGGTCAGGGACGATCTTGTTGGATAAAAACCCCTGGGGACAGCTGCTTCTTACTAGTCTTTTAAAGAACATTAAACGGCCTAAAGATCTTTCAATATCAATTAAGGACATGGGGATGGGGATGTTGATATGCCCAGAACAGTGAGGCCCCCCCCTCCCCTAAACGTGCGAGGCCTTGGGCAACTGCACAGTGTGCCCGTCCCTTAGTCGACACTGCCCAGTTTTCCCGTGCTTTTAGGAACCATTGATCTCTCCTTGACTGTTAATGCTCAAAGTCAGAACCCCGACCAACCCTACCCCCTCCCACCCTCATGCCCGCCCTTTGTTTGAGGGGGAGGGGGGCATTATATCCCCGTTCTTAGAAAACATTCTTCTCAATGATATTATTTTAAGTGTACATTAAATGTCCATTTTTTTTCGTTTCTTCTTTGTGTTGTAAAACAATTTGAATTTGATGAGATGAGTTCTAATAAACAAACTCCAGAATTTTCAATCAGCCGTGTTTCTTCTGTTGCTTCGAGTGACGATGTTCAATGTTCATATGAAGGAACCACTTCAAATGCACACGCGTTTCCCCCATGGGAAAGGGAGTCTCACAATGTCAGGGAAGTTGCCTCTCCCTCAATTTCTTTTGCTCAATCGGGTCAGTCCTATTTAATATTGCCCTTGATACCAGCTTTTCTTCTTCCTCTTTCTTTTTTTTTCTAACCTTTTTCCCGTTGTTTATTTTTCTGTTCATTTGTCTAACGATTTTGTCAGCTTTGACCTTAAAATTCACCTTCAACCTCTCACCCACACACAGATTAGTCTTCGATTGACCTTTGCCAAAATACATGTAATGATCAAAATGAAAAAAAAAATGGAAAAGGCGACAAGTAGCGAAACTAAGAAAAAAACAAAACATTTTTGGACATTTAAATTATCTTATCTGCATTAACTAAAAAAAAACAAAAAAAAAAAACAACGAATTTTTATGACATGAAATTTTTACGAAGTGGGCATGTCCCTCACCATTCAAAACTAAAAAAAAAACAAAACATTTTTGGACATTTAAATTATCTTATCTGCATTAACTAAAAAAAAACAAAAAAAAAAAACAACGAATTTTTATGACATGAAATTTTTACGAAGTGGGCATGTCCCTCACCATTTCGTAAAATTTGGAAATTTTTAACAACCCCCCACCCACATACGCGCGCGCGCACACCCACACACACGCTCACACGCATGCACATACACGTTCACACACATGCACACCCACACACATTCACACACACACACGTTCACACACACACCCACGCACGCACCCGCGTAAAATAAAACAATCAAAACCAGCGTTCAAACAGAAATGGACAAGAAGTGTAACACAGAGACTCGTGCAGATTTGGCTGATCCTTTATTTTAAAGGCAAATAATTCACTGGCGAATGTGAATAATTCACTGGAAAATGTGAATAATTCACAGGAAAATGTGAATAATTCACTTGCATTGGTGGCTGTCAAAGAAATCTAACTCTTTAAGGCATGTGGTTAAAAATATACACATGGTTTTAGGCCGTAGCCTGTAATGAAGTTTCGATTTTATTCAAGAACCACCCCCTTATGCAAATATTGCAATTGGAGTTGATAGGAAAAGGAAAAAAAAAACAAATAATGACCACAAAAAATAAATAAATAAATATAATAAAATCATTATTGCTACAAAATTCGCTAATTTTTACGTAACCTCCCTACGACGCAATCTAATGGGGAAATTATTATGTTCAAGAGTCCCGTTTTCAAATCTACTAAATTTTTTAATTTCCACATCTGCAACAATCAGTTGTTTATGATTCTACATTATTTATCTATAGATCACAAAAATATGAACTAGAGATTTGGTATTTAGATTTGACAGGTACATTTGAAATAAAAAATGTACAAGTAAATTTCACAAGTTGATTTGACATGTACATTTGACATGTACATTTGGCATGTAGCTATGGCATAATGTAGACTTGTCGTGTATATTTAACATGCACATTGAAATGTAGATTTGACATGTACATTTGACATGTACATTTGGCATGTCGCTATGGCATAATGTAGACTTGGCGTGTAGATTTAACATGCACATTGAAATGTAGATTTGACATGCTGATTTGACATGCAGATTTGGCATGTAGATTTGACATGCAGATTTAACATGCAGATTTGACATGTAGATTTAGCATGCAGATTTAGCATGCAGATTTGACATGAAGATTTGGCATGTAGATTTGACACATTGATTTTGACATGTATGTTACGATCCCCCATGATTGTCTCCCTTACGTTCCAGTTAATGCATATTGGCTGTGTTGCTTAGGGTTGAAATGGCTAGAAAGACTTTGACATTGTATGCTTGTAATTAGTTTTTGTAGTGTTGCGTTTGTTTTAAATGTGGTAAATTATAGATTTGTTTTTTGTTGACTTTGTACCGCGCTTCGAGCCTTTGGGGATGAAGCGTGTTTTTGAAATAAACTTTATTATTATTATTAAATTTGCAGGATTCCGAAAAGCCAACCCCTAATAGATAAATAAATGATACATAATAATAAAAAAAATTCAATAAAAGTTTGGTCTATCTTTTCATTAAAAGCTTTGACCGTGTGATATTTGATACGAATTAACAAAGCCAGGATGGGATTTTGATATTTGATAAGAATTAACACGGCCAGAATGGGATTTTGATATTTGATAAGAATTAACAAAGCCAGGATGGGATTTTGATATTTGATAAGAATTAACAAAGCCAGGATGGGATTTTGATATTTGATAATAATTAACACAACCAGGATGGGATTTTGATATTTGATAGAATTAACACAGCCAGGATGAGATTTTGATATTTGATAAGAATTAACAAAGCCAGGATGGTATTTTGATATTTGATAATAATTAACACAACCAGGATGGGATTTTGATATTTGATAAGAATTAACACAGCCAGGATGGGATTTTGATATTTGATAAGAATTAACAAAGCCAGGATGGGATTTCGATATTTGATAAGAATTAACAAAGCCAGGATGGGATTTTTATATTTGATAAGAATTAACAAAGGCAGGAGGGGATTTTGATATTTGATAAGAATTAACACAGCCAAGATGGGATTTTGATATTTGATAAGAATTAACACAGCCAGGATGGGATTTTGATATTTGATAAGAATTAACACAGCCAGGATGGGATTTTGATATTTGATAAGAATTAACACAGCCAGGATGGGATTTCGATATTTGATAAGAATTAACATAGCCAGGATGGGATTTTGATATTTGATAAGAATTAAGAACTCCAGCAGGGGATTTTGATATTTGATAAGAATTAACACAGCCAGGATGGTATTTTGATATTTGATAAGAATTAACACAGCCACGATGGGATTTTGATATTTGATAAGAATTAAGAACTCCAGCAGGGGATTTTGATATTTGATAAGAATTAAGAACTCCAGCAGGGGATTTTGATATTTGATAAGAATTAAGAACTCCAGCAGGGGATTTTGATATTTGATAAGAAATAACTCCAAAAGGGGTATTGAAATATTAAAATAACAAAAGGATGGGATTGTGCTATTTGATAAGAAATAACAACAGGGTGGGATCGTGCCAGACACGAACTTAACTTGAGATGGCTGCTAGGACCAGGAGAATCAACATGAGTGTCACCCGACTGTGCCAGGATACCACACTGTTTGCAGCCGTCACAGCGAGTTTAGGAAGTTCTGCTTCAGCTAGAGAGAGGAAAAGACAGAGTGAGTGAGAGATAGAGATAAAGAGAGAGAAAGAGAGAGAGATGAGTGAGAGAGAGTTAGTTAGTGAGTGAGTGAGTGAGAGGGATAGAGAGTGAGTGAGAGAGAGTGTGAGTGAGACAGAGATTGTGAGTGAGAGACAGAGTGAGTGAGTGTGAGATAGTGAGAGAGTAAGTGAGTGAGTGTGAGTGATGGTGAGTGAGAAAGAGAGTGAGTGAGAGAGAGTGTGAGTGTTACAGAGAGTGATTGAGAGAGTGAGAGTGTACGTGAGAGAGAGAGAGTGAATGGGTGAGTGTGAGTGAGAGAGAGTGAGTGATAGAGAGTGTGTGAGTGAGAGATAGAGAGAGTGAATGAGTGATTGAGAGAGACTGTGAATGAAAAAGAGTGAGTGAGAGAGAGCGAGTGAGTGAGAGGGAGAAAGAGAGGGAGTGAGAGAGATATATATATAGATAGAGAGTGTGAGTGAGTTAGAGAGAGAGAGAGTGTGAGTGAGAGAGAGATGGAGAGAGAGAGAGGGAATGAGAGAGATATATAGATGTAGAGTGTGAGTGAGTTAGAGAGAGAGTGTGAGTGAGAGAGAGAAGGAGAGAGAGAGTGGGATTGAGTGAGAGAAAGGGAGGTAGTGAGAGAAATATGTAGATAGAGAGCGTGAGTGAGTTAGAGAGAGAGAGTGTGAGTGAGAGAGAGAAAGAGAGAGAGAGAGTGGGATTGAGTGAGAGAGAGAGTGTGTGAGTGAGAGAAAGAGAGAGAAAGAGAGTGAGTGGTTACGTGTAGGAATGTTTATTTGTTGAGTGTGCCAAAAATATATGGAGTCATAATTAGCGAGGCGTGGGTGCTGAAAGGATTTGGAGTCATAATTAGCGAGTTGGGGGTGCTAGCATAATATTGAGTCATAAACAGCGAGGGCAGGATGCTAAAATGATGTGGAGTCATAATTGGCGAGGAGTAGATGCTAAAATTTTGTGGAGTCATAATTAGAGAAGTGTGGGTGTTAAAATGATGTGGAGTCATAATTAATGAGGTTTGAGTACTTAAATGATGTGGGCTTAAAAATCATCTTACTGGATTTAGTCATTCATTTACGTATTACTTGATTTAGCCGTGGTAGGCATGACATGCTGAGTGGAGCCATTACTGACTGGTTGAAGCTATTGTTGACTGAGTGGAGCCATTACTGGATGAAACGATCCATGAGTGGCCAGAGCCATCAATGGACTGAGCTATTAATGACTAGCTGCAGCCATTAATTAGTGGGTCTAGCCATGAACTACTTACTCATTAATCATCACTGGGTTGGGCCATTACTAAGTGGGAGGAGCCATTATTTCCACTGTGAACGCTTTACATACCAGGTTTGTGTTTTTTCTCCACGTACACTACTTTGTTTAGGAATTCCTCGCTCAGTCTGGGGCAACTGTTTTGTACCATGCATGATTTCAAAACTTGTAACTGTTTGCTGTAAGAGTTCATGAGAAATTTGCTTTACTTTTACGCAATTTGCAGCCAATTGAAACTCATGTTAACAATGTGTTCTTTCAATATATTGTCTAGGGCAGTGGTAGGCAAAATACGGCCCACTTATTACTATTAATGTCGTTTTATAGAGCGCAGCAACGCAGCATAGGGCTAGGCTCGCTGCGCTTCACATAAAAATTAGCAGTTACAGAAACGAAATACATTTTAAAAACAACAATTTGTAAAAAGCTTGACCTCACCCACCCAAGTACTACCACCCTTATCTAGCCATAGACAGCACCCAGCAGCATCGAACATTGTTTTTCAGTTAGAGGGGGGTGAGAATGGGTCGGTATAGTTGAGTTGGAAGAGATGGGTCTCGCGGGCAGTTTGGAGGCTGGGATGGTCGGTATATTGCGGATGTGTAATGGGGGAGAACAGAAAGAATACGTGTGTCTGCGGAGGAACGAAGCCTTTGAAGGGGGTGAATAGAAAGAAAGAAGTTCAGTTAGATAGGAAGGGCAGAAACCAGAGAAAAAGTTGTGGCAGAGAACAGACAGCTTGTAATCAATGCGTGCCTGTATAGGGAGCCAATAAAGTGAGTGAAGTAGTGGAGTGACGTGATCACGTTTCTTTGCCTTTAGAACTATCCTAGCGGCTGAGTTTTGAACTTTCTGCAGATTTTCTATGAAATCTTTTGGTGAACCTGCCAGAAAAGTGTTGCAGTAGTCAAGACGGGAGAGAACAAGAGCACATATAAAGTATTCGTACGAAATCTTGTTTTTTTTAAAGAGTTATCCGATATGTGCGCCAGTGAAACACTATGAGAGTATGTTACAACCAATCAATCAATGAGCTACTAGCTAAACTTAAAATGCAAGCGATCGCTGTGCAACACAATCATATAAGCACTATCTATATAAATGGATGCTTTGTACACTGATCTAATGAGTACCAACCTACTGGTGTGGGAAGGGGGTGGAGGTTAGGGGGCGTTCGGCCCCGGGTGGCAGTTTCGGCCAACTGCAGAGTCCATTTTTTGTGGGAGAGGGGCAGCATAAATCTTAACCAATCCCGATGGCATTTGCCCCGGATGGCATTTACTCCGGATGGCATTTACCCCTTGCTACGCCAATACACCACTCAATCAATTTCGGCAATAGAGAGTACCAACCTAGACCTTCAATTCCAGGACATCATGTTAGAAAAATGGCCAGAGTACGTTTCATTAATGTGAAACAAGCGATTAGGGCATTCGGATCTTTACCAGAATCCTTATGTCCAATTTGCAGGATCAATTAAATTATTGTAACCTGCTGTTACATTTCAACAAGTGGCAAAAGTGTGTCTTACATATTTTAAATAATTGTTTCCATGGAATGAAAATTATTTGGTTATTTATTCTGATGGTTGAGCCGATCCATCCGGCCTCCGGTACCCGAAGTGATCTCCTTAACAGTCTCTAAGTCAAGAACTTGCCTGCATCCGTGTCTGTCTCTAAGTCAAGGCATTGCCTGCATCCATGTCTGTCTCTAAGTCAAAATTTTGACAGCATCCACCTCTGTCTCTAAGTCAAGACATTGCCTGGTACCATGTCTTTCTCTTAAGGGTTCGCAATAAATCATGACACAAGATAGAATAATAGTCTAACTACGACCCGTAGACCGGATCAAAATACTCTACTATATGAGGAAAAAACAACTTACATCACATAAAGACATATTTTGTTATGACATTATGCATTCGGTCTCACAACCGTGTGATGTACTTTCCGTACCCATGAGCTTATCGCAGTGGTTGGCAAATCGCGGCACGCGAACCGCATGCGGCTCTTTAGCGACCTGATTGCGTTTTGGCCAGTCGGGCAAAAATCGGATTTGACTCCGAAAAAATAGTTCTTGACAGGTTCTTGAAAAGAAATTGGGCTCTCAAATTTTTAAATGGCCCTGCTGCTGATATTTGGCCACTGAGCTGGTGCGTTTCATTTCGAGACGTGTATCCCTAGAACGCAACTCACCTGGGGTCATCGGTATAGTTGGTCTTTGCCTTGCAGCCCGACAGGTACCTCATGCACGCCTCCTCGAGTGGCATGGGGACGACATCCGGGAACGTGGGGATGTCACCCAAGTCCAAGGCCTGGGCCCGCAATGCTGGAAAATGTTGAAATTGACACGTCAGCTAAATCAGACTAATCTGCATATGCCACATTCTATATGTATAGGTTATCTGCTGTATGTATACATCGTCTTATATATGTTTACCCCACCTGCCTTATGTACACCTCAATGTCTATATGAATACATCACCTTCTATGTGTAAAACTACACCTTTTACCTCTAATGTGCATACCTCACCTTCTACATCCTTACCTCCACCCTGTTAAATTAGCGTTTCAAACACCACCCACTGTGCCCCAAAAACACGGAAAAAAATTGTTTGGGTCTGCTTGGTCTTCGTCACATGAGCCCAGCGCCAAGACCTCATGAGGACAACACCAGAACCTCATGAGCCCAGCGCCAAGACCTCATGAGCCCAGCGCCAAGACCTCATGAGCCCAGCGCCAAGACCTCATGAGGACAGCACCAGAACCTCATGAGCTCAGCGCCAAGACCTCATGAGCCCAGCGCCAAGACCTCATGAGGACAGCACCAGGACCTCATGAGCACAGCGCCAGGACCTCATGAGCACAGCGCCAAGCGCTCACGAGGACATAAAACGCGTTTAAAGAATCTGAGAGAAGAAATGATTCATGGAATAACCAACCGCACGTGAAAATAATGACAACGAGGTAACAGCAAACTGTCAGATTCGTGTCCATGACGCCAGTCAGATCTGAATCAGCGATTCCTTTTCTTGTCAACAGCGATTTTTAGATTTTCTGGAGAAGAAAAATAAAATTGAATCTGGCGTTTTAATGTCAATATGAAAACTGCAGTTTTATAACAAAAAAAACAAACAAACAACATTTACCAAACATTGAATACGATCTGCATGTTGCAGGGTCACCACAGTTTTTTAATTAAATATTAATAATCCATCAAATTTATAAAAATAAAATATACATATATTTGAGTACGAGCTGCAGTGTATCTCGCATGTCCTCAAGCACGTACCTCACCCCACAGAAGCCGGGTATAGACTAATCAGAGCAAAACGCCCACTGAACAAGGACTTCACCATTGACCATTACACCAGAAACAATAGCAAATGCTTCAAAGGGCCTCAGAGCAACACAGTGCAGTATCAACAATCTTTCTTACCACGCACAATAATAGCATGGAACCACCTGGACGATGCCACTGTGAACTCGACATCGGCTGAAAGCTTCAAGGCTGCCCTGGCATCAGCTAGGGGCTGTTAGAATAGCAACATCATACCCCCAACCGTTGCAAAGATGCCAGTACATGGATGCAGCTACGAAAACATTACCAGAACCAGAACCAGAACCAGAGCCGTGTTAGTTTTCACCTCCAGGTCAGCAAGAGTGTGGTGAAATACGAACTGTAAAGGATAATCGTTCAATGCATGTACAAAAAAAAAACAACAACAGCAACAACCCAATAGCAGGGGTAATACAGCACGCTGAGTGAGCGCGCGTGGCGTCCTCAGAAAGTTAGTTGAGCATTCGCAACCTTTAAACTCAAAGTGGTGTGAGATGGTATCCTGAGACTAAATAAACAGGTACGTCGCCATGGCGGACGACGTAGCTACAATGGGAATAAAAATGTTTAGTGCGCGTGACGCAATCACAATGACAATAAAGTTGTTTGTGACAACATATTGAGGCATCGGGGGGATGAGGAAGTCTATGAAGAACGGTTTGGGAAAGCTGCACAACTGGAGTGGTTTGCTTGGTGAGCTCTGCATCATATTGAACACATACACAGAGATAGACACACACAGACAGACACGCAAAAACCAGACACACACATACAGACAGACACACACACAGATAGACACACATTTATACATGCACACATACACACATACACACACACAAACGACAATGGCCTTGATTTGGAAATGCTTTTAAAATATGAGTTTTAATTATTTGATGCCTAATTAGTAACTAACTAACGCACTGATTTGTGGCGTCCTGAAGTGAAGCATCCAACACAGCATTAGCCAGGGGTCATTCCAAATATGAAGTATGAACCACACGTTCACTGTAAGCTAGAATTTTTGTCAAATTGTATATCTGAAATAACAGTTAGATTTAAGCGATGGCTAACGCTTGGATGCAATACCTTTTGTTTACTTTAGATTACTGGGATTCAATACCTTTATTCTACTTTAGATTAATGGGATTCAATACTTTAGTCTACTTTAGATTACTGGAATCCAATACCTTTAGCATACGTTAGATTACTGGGATCCAATACATTTAGTCTACTTTAGATTAATGTGATCCAATACCTTTATTCTACTTCAGATTACTGGAATCCAATACCTTTAGCCTACGTTAGATTATTGTGATCTAATACCTTTAGTCTACTTTAGATTACTGTGATCTAATACCTTTAGTCTACTTCAGATTACTGTGGATCTGTACTTAGTCCAACAAAATCATCTTGGTTTTTCAATTTCTTTCCTAACATGGTCGGCATCCTTTAAATTGTTTTATACCCACAAAGAGCGCATCAAAACAAATGGATGGGGACCAAATTATTCTTGACAAGATGGTTTAAACAAACACAAATAAAACGGAAGGGACGTATTGTGCAAAGATGGCGCAATCAGCGTTTACATTTGGATTTTAGAGTTTCTAGTTTGTGTCATATTCCAAGCACAATATGTGAGGGCTATTGATATGTGTGGGCTCTTGATATGCGTGGGCTCTTGATATGTGTGGGCTCTTGATATGTGTGGGCTCTTGATATATGTGGGCTCTTGATATGTGTGGGATCTTGATATGTGTGGGCTCTTGATATGTGTGGGCTCTTGATATGTGTGGGCTCTTGATATGTGTGGACTCTTGATATGCAAAACAAAAGAAAACATGGGCGTTTCAGCCAAACGCCTTCCCTCGCAATCCAAACAATGCTTATAATAGTAATTCTGTATTTTCAATCAGATTTTTTTTTTGGTTGGCTTTGCCTTTCATGTTGATAACATTTGTAGTTGAAGGTGGAAAGAATTGATCACTGTTTGTATTAGCTTTGCAAGCATAATTTGATTCTGCATTTACTTCAATTCTTCTTCTTCTTTCCACTCCTAGCAGAGAGGCGTCGCGGGCTGGGGAGATACTGTAAGCGGTTAGGTACAGTTGCCGGTTAGGTACAGTGGGCGGTTAATAACAGTGAATGGTTAGGTACAGTGGACGGTTAGATACAGTGAATGATTAGGTACAATGAATGGTTAGGTACAGTGGACTGTTAGGTACAGTTAATGATTATGAACAGTCGACGGTTAGGTACAATGAATGGTCTGGTACAGTGGACGGTTAGATACAGTGAATGGTTAGGTACAGTGAATGGTTAGGTACAGTGAATGGTTACGTTCATATTACGGTTAGGTACAGTGAACGGTTAGGTACAGTGGACTGTTAGGTACAGTTGGCGATCTGCTTGAAAGTGTGATGCCTGCTGGAGTTTCATTTTTAAAAAAAATACTTTGAGGGTGTCCTTAACAGAGTCGATCCCCCACGCGCATGATCTTCCTTTAGCACTGAAACCCGATAGACTGCTATTTTAGTTTTACAATGCAGTTTGGTTGACAGACAGTTCTGACCAGGGTGCCCAAATCAATTTATTAGCTGTTGGGCCATATACTGGATTCAGCCCGCCAGATACGGCCCGCCAGCACCCACTTAGCGGCCCGCGAGGTAACGAAATATTCTTTATTCTTCAAATTTTTTTAATAGCTTTCCCCGCTGTTCTATTTTCCTTTGGCCCGCACAAGTCCTGTCCTATTTTCCTTTGGCCCGCACAAGTCCTGTCCTATGATCTTTTGGCCCGCACACGTTTTTCATAAAGTATTACGGCCCGCATTCAATTTTGATTTGTGCAGGCCTGCACTAGATGATGTGTTTGTTACCAGCCACTTGCAGTTTAATACTGCACAAATGGAAAGAAACATATTAAAATGACAATAAAATAGTGCACAAGCAACAAGCAACAAGCAGCAGTGTCACCAGGATGAGTACCATCAGTTAGGTTACCATTGCTCGTGATGTTGAGTGGGTACATTGGATGAAGTTGAATATGCGTCTGCGATGCAGCTGTGTAAGTTAACGAAGTTAAATGTGTACAGTTAATGAAGATTGAATGTGTACCATTGATGAATCTGATTTTGCTTATGAATACGTTGACCTCCTAATTTAGGAGGCTGCTAGAGGTATAGAGTAAACTTCAAAACCCGCAGGCCGTATTTGCCTGCTGTCATGTTTGCCTGTTGTCATATTTGCGCGCTGTCATGTTTTCTGTCACGTTTGCCTGCTGTTATATTTGCCTGCTGTCATATTTGCTGTCATATTTGCCTGCTGTCATATTTGTCTAATGTCATGCTTGTCTAATGTCATGTTTGTCTTCTGTCATATTTGCCTGCTGTCATGTTTGCCTGCTGTCATGTTTTCCTGCTGTCATATTTGCCTGCCGTCATGTTTTCCTGAGTACAGGTAAGTGAAATTAAAATTTTAATCAACCATTGTTTTCGTATCTTTTTCAAATCTGAAAAGAAATAAAATTATATAGAAACTAATACAAAGCTGACGATATCATCAACAGCAACAACACAAGTAGCAATAGTTCAGTATCAGTTCAAGTACTTTATTCATCAGTCATCAATGCATTCTAAAACCAAAAATTACGTATAACATTACATGGCTACAGTGGCGTAGCTAGGGTAAGTGCCACCAGGGGCGGGCGACAATTTTTGCCACCCTCCTTCCAAGAAAAAAAAACACCCTACCTATGTGTTGGGCCGCAAATGACACCTTTCTATATAAAGACCACGCGCCCCCATACGCACCCCCTTCCTAAGCCACCGCTTGGTGATCGGCTGTGTTACAAATTACACAAAGAGGGGATGTAAGAGAGTATGTAAGTTAATCGTGCCCGAGTATAAATTGATTTAAATAGGTCATGACCAGGCTCTGTGACAACAATCTTTCATGTAGCGATGGATGCATTACGTCAAAGCAAAATTTAAATCTTACTCTGACTGAAAAATAATAAATCCTATTCGTTAAAAAAAATGCTTGTTGGTTGTCTACAATTATTCGACGAATTTCTTTAAACTTGATAATTTTAAGGAACACTGAAAAACTCAAACTAGGATTTTCCAGACTGAAAAGAAATATTGTGTACGATGAATGAAAAAAAAAAAATTAAATCCATTTATTTGGATCAATAAAAATATATAATCTTATCTTATCTTTTCTTATGTTTTCTTATCATTTCTCATGAGTCATACGTAGTACACACGCGGAATAAAACCATCAACAGCTGTCCTATCTAAGCATCCACTTTGTATATTGGATCTGAGAGTTCGGCTTATAAGCATTCAATATCACAGTAAGTGTTTGAAATAGGTAAAAATCGAGGAATGTTGGGATCCCGGCCGTGGATTTTATGGCTTGGTTCACAACCGTAGGACATTTTTTAATATGCCTTTTGTCCGCCATCTGGTTTCCTCTCTCACCCCCCCCCCCCCCCCCCCCCCCCCTGTAACAGCATTTATTTCGTATCAATGATTTACAAAATCACAATAGATGGATCAGGGCCGCCTCGTGGCGAGATTCGATGGCATTGACCTTGACCTCTCCGATTCCAAGAAAGGCAGCAAGACTTTAAGGAAAATGGCGTTTCAGGGATTCTAATCAGCGAATCTTATGAAACATCAACTCCAGCATTTGATAAGAGAAGATGTGTATTGAATTTCAGCAGCTCTGTAAGATTCCGTGAACCAAAGTCATGAGCAATGAATAGACTTACCCGAACCAAATTGTATTAAACAAATCACATATATGCAAATTACTTTAATTAAATACATATTTGAAAAAAAGAACTAACTAATTAAATTGCCTGCAAATCAGTGAGATGTTTCTTCAAGACTCCCCAGATTCCTAAACATGCCTACAATATTTTCTTGATTCATCCCTTCAGCTAGAGATATGGGGGATTCCCCTAATTTATCAGCTATAGTTACGCTAGCTCCACGGGAAAGGAGAAGCCGTATTGCTTCCGGACTGGATGATCTGACGGCTTTGTGTAAAGCTGTCTCGCCGTTCACGTTTGTCTTGTTCACGTCCGCTCCGGCGTCAATAATATCCTGTAGTAGCTCCGTATTGTTCATTTCGCAGGCCAGGCCAAGGGCTGTATCGCCGTCTTTGTCCTCGACATTGATATCAAACCCGGCCTCCAAAAGCATAGCGGCAATCTCAACATGACAATTTCTTAGCGCCCCCAACAACAGTGCCTGGTTGTTAGTGTCCATGATTGTTTGATCCCGCCTGCGCCCAAGTAAAAATTGAACCGTCCCCAGGTTACCAAGGTCACAGGCTACACCCAACAGCGTTTTCCCAGATCCGTCAGCACCGTTGATGTCTGCCCCGGCGTCCAGTAAGAGCTCAGCGATGTTGCAATTCCCGTTGTGGCAAGCCAGATGAAGCGCAGATTCGCCTTTATTATTTTTAGCATTGACCTCAACACCGGCCGATACAAGACTTCGAACAATCGCTGCTTGTGCTGTCTTCGTGGCTTCATACGGCACTGTTTCCAGATCTCGGTTTATCAGATCGACTTGAGCGTCCGCCCCGAACACCGTCTTGTCGTCAGTGTCCACGTGCCCATATCCCGCGGCGAGAATCAACGGGGTATTTCCGGAGCCGTCCCGCGCGTTAACGTCCGCCTTGGTTTCAAGGAGAAGTCTGACGAGTTCCGCATTCTTCGAGTGGACCGCCAGCGTTAGCGCCGTGTCCCCGTTGACGTTCGCTTGCTTCACGTCGGCACCAGCGAGCAACAGCTCGGTGACCACGTCGAGGTTGCCGTGTCTCGACGCGAGGAGAAGGGCGGAGTCGCCCTGGCTGTCCACCTTGTTGACGTTGACGTCGGCCTGAATGAGGAGGCTGGTCATGCTGAACGAGTCCGCCGCCTTCATGAGAGCCGTTTCTCCTTTCTTGTTCGCGGTGTTGAGCAGAGCGTTATATTTAAGTAGCCGAGCAACGACCTCAGCGTCCCCTCTCTCGGTGGCCAGGATGAGCGCGGTGGAGCCATCGTGGTCTCTGTGATTTACGCTCGCCTCGTGGTCTATGAAATAGTTCAATAACTCCGTGTCTGATAATCTCACCGCTTTGAAGAGAGCAATCTCCCCCTGGGGATCGGTCGCGTCGAACGAAAATCCAGAGCGGTAGAAACACGTCAGGATTTGGTACCGCTTCGACTCCACGGCTGCGAAGAACGCCTTTCTGATTGAAGACTCGTCGACCGGTAACTCAGCACCGGCTTCAAGGAGACAGTGCACGATATCTAAGTGTACTTGTTCACACGCAATAACCAAGGCTGATTGGCCGATCGTATTTCTTAAATTCACGTCAGCTTTAGCTCCTATGAGACCGATCACTGCATCCAATAGGTTGAATCG